GAAGAAGAAGAAGAAGATGGAGAGAAGAAGGGGTAGGAAGAAGAAAAAGATCCTGCAGAGAAGAAGAAGAAGGTGGCTGGACAAAAACAGAAGGGGTAGGAAGAAGAAAAGAGAGAAGAAGAAAAAAAAGAAGAAGAAGAGAGGGTGGCGGGACGGAAGGGAGAAAAGAAGAAAAGAAAGAAAAAAGAGGAAGAAGAAAAGAATAAGAAAAGAAAGGGGCGAAGCAAAGTGGAAGAAAAAAGAAAAAGAATAATAAATGAAGTGGGTGGGGAGGGTATTTGAGTCTTTTTAACTTATAAAACTTACTAAAAAAGAAAATGGGAAGTTTATTTGTGGACATCCCAAATAGGAAAGTGGGAAGATTAATTATGGACGGAGGGAGTATTGACTTTGGATCATATGTTTTTATTTCCCAATGTAGGACCATTAGACATTATCTATTAGTCTTTATTTAACTAAATGTCCAACATCACTTGGATATTATTATTTTTTTCACTAGTCATTATTAAATCCTATTTAGAAAATAAAAAAGTTTAAGTCCTACATTGAGAAATAACTTTGTTTTAGTCCTATTCAATGCAATTCAGTGCAAATTTCACAAAAAAAAAGCTTAAAGATGAAATATGGATCTACACCTCTAAATGAAGATGAAATATAGAAAGCCGATGTCATGAAATAGGAGAAGTTGATATCACGCTGAGTTGAAAGTGAAGATGCCACACACCATACCGTGCAACCTAAAAGTATAGGAAAAGAATTATTACATCTGTCCCTGAATATTTTTCCAGATTTGACTTTTTTCGATCAGCTATTTCTAACCTTTGACCTATAATTAAATAAAATATACTACGTATATTGTATATTAATTAGATAAAATAATATTTTGAAAATATTTGATATAATAAATCTAAAAAAACTATTTTTGTATCAATATCTAATTAAAAATCACTCTAATCAGGATTAAAACATAGAAAAAAGTATCAAAATAGGAGTTCCATGTTTTTATTCCTGAAATAGAATTTTGCACTGTGGTAATGTGTTTGTAATGTGGCACTGTACATGTGCACATTACTATACTTTTTGATAATGTACATGACCATGTTTGGTAATGTATTTTAACTCCTATTTTGAGAATAAAAATATGAAAGTCCTATTGTAGTGTATTTTCAATGTTTTACTTCTACTTTAGTCTTTTTCCCATATTTAATATCTTTTTTATTTAATATGAGATCAAAGCTTACTAATCTTGATCGGAAAAAATTAAAAGTTAACAAATATTCAGAGACAAAAGGATTACTCCATGTTTAAAAAAAATTATGTGCATTAAGAGCTAGTATATTGATTAACTATTCAGAGGCAAATGTCTGATCAATTCGGATAAGAGGTCTTAACCATTCAGACTCTGTATAATATTTAACCATTCAGAGGCAAATGTCTGAGCCATTCAAACATCTAAACCATTAAGAAGCTGAAACAAACAGCCCCTAACATGTGATCTTTTCTAAAGGAACGTGGGAATATGATGATAGAGAATGAAAGATTCGTGTCTAGAGTCTAGACGAGTGGCTTTTGGCATTTACTTAGAACATGAGCAATGGCAAGTAAGAAATGGAATGCCACACATTGACGTGGAGTATTTTAGCCAATGAAAATCGATTTAGTCATCGTGTGGCGAATGAGTGGAGTGGCATGCCTTACAATGGCAAGTCACTCTTTTTATTATTTTTTACACTTTTTAAATGTATTTTAATTAATAAAAATGATTTTAATTATTTATTTGATTATAAAAATACTTCTATTTACATTTATTTAAAAATAGGAGTATTTTTTTCCTTATTTAAAAAGATTTAAAAAATAAAAAAAATTTAATTATCCTTATTAAAAAAATTTAAAAATATATTGTCTAATTTATTTAAATGCCTTACAAAAAAATAAAAACATTTTTGTTTAAAAGAAAACTAATCCATCCGTTCTTATCCATATGCTACCCCTACCCTATCTATCTATATACAAGGGTAGGATGCCATTTTCTACAGTGTTCCCGCCCATTTTATATGCTACAGTAACCGTGAGTTTTGGACCGCACATTCGGAAAAAAAACCTCCGCATACTCAATCATTTTAGATGAACTGGAGTACCGGAGAAGCTTTGCGTCCATCCCTACTCACGCATCATCCGATTTTCTAGGGTTTCTTCTGAACGGCTTCGCGAAATTTTGGTCTGATATTTCACACGAGAGAAGCTTTGGAGTACTGGCGATTTTGGTCTGGGATTTCGCACGCGATTTTGGAGTACTGGAGTACTGGCGCACGAGAGAAGCTAAGGCGCTGGGATTTCGCTCATACGGCTTCACGATTTTGGTCTGGTGGCTTCGGTATTTCATTCTCCTTCTTAGGTATTTCATTCCTTCCTGGTCTCTCATGCTCTTAGATCTATCTTTATTCCCGAACTAGGGTTTGCGATTTTGGATTGATTCTCTACCTTCGTGCTACTCATCATTGCCAAAGAAGCTTCTTCGGTATCGCTTTTTATTACCTCATATATATTAATTGCTCTGTATAAATCAATATTTAAAGGTTTGTTTTCCGGTCTTTGGTCCTCTCTGTCTGTTGGACGAAAAATGGTGGTCGATCACATACATACTAACACAAGAGGTGGTCGATCACTGGTGTATTTTTGGTGATTTTTTATAATTTTTTTTTGAAAAAAATATTTTCTAAATTACAAATTGAGCCTGTTAGTGAGTATATATTATGTTTTCGATGATAATTGTGTACTGAAGCATATATGGAGCAAATTATCACAATGAAAACTTGGTTTTCAATCATGGATTCATTAAAGCTTTGTGTGTCTATTCAGGTTTTCACTTGAATAAAAAAAAGTATCAACACAATTGGACCTCATATTGCTGGTAAGATCTCAGAAGCTTCCTTCTCACTTTATGACTATGTTGTTATCTTACTTGGGCATAGTTATTGATGATTTTTTTTCCTTTTTTCTTTGTTTTCTTTTCACAAGAATTGGATCTTTATTAGTGGGTTTATGTGTAAAAAATAAGTAAAATTTCTCTAGGTAATTCGCTTTAAATGTGTTGTGACAGTTCTCTAGATTCTTAAAGGGCTTAAGTCTCAACTTGCAGCGTGCTATGCTTTGGCTCAATGCCAAATTTCTTTAGGTAATCTATGTACTTTGATGAATGCAGGTTGCAACGCGCAAATGGAGAATATCCTCTTTTTGCTTTGCACGGGTAAGTAATCATCCATTGAAAGTACAAATTCTAGACTCATTATTTAGCTTTAGTATTCTACAGTTAGATTTTCCTAAGATTATTTTTGTATTTCATAAGATTATATGGCTAAAATAGAATTCTACTCTTTAAGATTTTTTACTTTTTATTAGACAGTATGGCTAAAACTGAAATGTATAGCGCACTTGATCCAAATTTTTGTGTGGTGACACTTAACTATGATGGATATCAAGAGTGTGGTGACACTTAACTATGATGGATATCAAGAGTGTATGCTACATTGAGTTATTACATTTTGAGTTTCATTACGATTATTTGCGTTTTAATGAGATTGTAGAGACAAGTTGAATACTGAAAACCACCCCATGTTTACAACTTCCCACTAACACATAACTCTTTCACAAAATCAGAATGAAACGGTGAAGCCCTCGATTCGTCCTCCCTTTGTCGTTGTGACTTCACCGAAATCTATGTCGGCTGCCTTCGGCATCTCTACGCTCACCAGCAGAATCTATGGATGGCACTAGGGTTTGGTACCCTAGCCCAGGCATCAATGGTCTTTCCTCTTCGATTATATGCTCTCTAACTTTTTCTTATTTTGTTCGTAAAAGAAGAGAAGAAGAAGCGTCACACAACCAAAAATGTGGAGGTCAATTATCCATCTTATTCAGTGTATTATGTCCATTTTTTATTTCTCTGATTTCTAATTTTCTAAAAAATCTCATTCAATTTTGTATTTAATTTCACTGGTGGTTGTTTTTGTTGATGTTTTGTTTAAAATTAGTATAGATTGTTGATGAATAATGATAACGCACAAACGCAGGGGAAGACATTGAGAGAGTTTGGTCCATATTATTTCTAATATTACCGTTCATGGTGAGTCCAATCCCATACCTTTGTTGTCTCTTTGAGATTAATCTTTTTTACAAACAACTGATGGATAAGTTTTGTAATTGCAGGTGTGAAAACTGGGAGAGCCGTTGCCTCATTTTTGCTGCCTAAATTTGTGGTTATTGGGAACAGAGGGAAAAGGCTTAATGTGTTGTAGTTCCCCGTCGGGAGAGTGAAGGATTTGAAAGAGATCTACACTCCTTCCCATGCCGCTGTCGTACTTTACCATTTCATTGAGTTTGACGCCCAGGTTCCATACTTCAACTTCTCATTCACATTGAATTTATCAAATTTAGTGTCAAATTTTTGAGCTAAAGAATTTTTATGATTCTGTCTTTGTAGGTTACAAAAGACAGTGTTCTACCATCTATCCCAATGCTAGAGAATGTAAATCATCACTTATGTATACTCTTTATCATCATTCACTAATTTTCACTTTATTACTTTATATGCATACTCTCTTTAATTTATTCAAGCCAGGAGCACTATCAGCATTTTTGGAAATTTAATTTTTAACATATTACTTTTAGGAAATCATTTACTCTGGTCTTCTTCTACTTCACCATGGCATATTGGTCGTAGAAAATACTTTTTCTTCTAATAAGGTATTAGCGTGCATGAGTTGTGCATTGTGTTTGCAAGTACAATTGCCAACCATCACTGTTTCTCCTAGAGTAACCGTGCTACTATCTTCTCCTTCCATTTATGTTTATCTAATATCAATACCTTTTTTTGCTCTCTTTTTAAGGAAGGTGATAGTGAGTTTGGAAATGGAAGGAGCCATTGCTTCGTCTTCTTAAAGGGTTCTGGGTCAAATGCCCTTTGTTTGAAAATCTCTTCCTCGAGTTACCCGACTAGCCTATCTATCGTTGTGGGTATTTTAACACCAATCTTGGTTTGATCTCTATTCACATTAATCACATCATTTTTTATGATAACGTTTATGCTCTTTTTTAATATAACAGAGGCAATTCTTGGTCTGAAACAATCGTTCACTTCCCATCCAGGTGCGAGCGCTATAACCCGTGCATTTTTCTATTTTCTTACTTTCTAGCTTCTATTTCGGATCTAACTGTTTATTTTCGATAATTTTATTAGAATTTCTATGAGTTTTAGTTTGTTGGGGGCAAAGCTCATTATACCAAATGAGCCAAGTTGATCATTTCGTTCTACATGTTGTTTGGCAAGAATTTGAGAATTACAATTGTCTTCAAGGTAATTATTCATTTTATTTTCTTTCAATATTAGATTTTTTTTATTTCTTTTTTAATACAAAGTATATTTATTTGCTCAAACGAAGTATCATCTCTTTTGTTGACAAGTCTTTATTGATGAATCCACATGCTCAGTTATTATATGAAATTTCTGCAAAAAACATTATTATATGAATTTTCATGATTTTTAATAGCTTTGCAAGCTTTCTATCCTCTTAGCAGGCTCTTTGGTTACATTTATTGAATTGAGGTTGTCTTTTGGTTTGGAACTAACATGCTAGATCACCTTGCACTCCAGATAGACACTTTAATCTCTTAAGAGGCACCAAAGAAGGCGAGTCTGGCTCTTTGCGGTTGTACTTTTGCGGATGTTTTGTTATTTTGGAAGCTCATTTATGTATTTATGTTTTGCAGAGATTTTGTGTTTGTCAAATTTACACTTTTTAATGAAATTATTTTTGTGATTTTGTATTGTGGAAAGATTATACAGAGTATCTTTTTTCAAGATGTTGTAAGAAAATAAGAATGGTTAATACCTGGAGTACATTTTAGCCACTCTACCTCAAAAGTATATTACAAATTACTTTTCTATGATTTTCATGTACTCAAATGTCAAATTAAAATTATATACGAGTACAATTATAATCAAATTTAAATTTGAATATTACTTTGTGTTTTGCTGTACTTTTATACATTACATTTTAAATAAAATTTGATCGTGTATTCATTTTGATGTTTAATGTTTTCTTTTCTTCTTAGATATGAGTATTTTACACATTGATGTTGTAAAATAATAATTTTTACTCCTTATATGCTATCGTTAGGTGTTGCAAAAAGTTATTGTTGTAATCACTCTTTATTTGACAATTGCAACCTGAAGATATTTAAAAAAAACATGTTTTGTGTGCCTTTAACTATTTATAAAAGCAAGGAAAGATGTGAAAGGTAATATGAACCATTTATTAATAAATGAGGTGTTTTTAGCCAAATGAAATGTGGATTTAGGCTATGTTCTCTTCACCTTGGTTATGATCTGATTGGAATAAGTTTTCATCTGGTCTGATTTGATATGATCTGGTCTGATCTAAATGTAGTTATATTTAAAATTATTTTTGATTTGATTTAATTTCAATAAGAATAAATAATAAATAAAAAATTAGTTAGGGAGAATATGACCTTAGCCTTATTTCCACACAAAAATTTGATAATTTACTAGCACATTGTTAAAAGTTGTTTTCATGATTTAGTATCACATTTGAGATTGATTGTGAATGCAAAACATTCAATCAAGACCAAAGGATCATTTTTGGGTATGTAATTCCCTTTCTCTTTTTCAATTTGAAATATGCATTATATGCATGTTTTCATCTTTTTTTTGTAAATGTTTTTACGATCTTCAAAAGAAACTTATATTTTTTCAAGCATATTTGGATTAGTGGTATAATAATTGTCACTAATTGAAAATTTCATTTCCTTGAGGTGAATGTTTATTTGTTTTTAAGGTCTAAGATCATCTATATATATTTGTTGAAGTTTTGAACTATAATTGGAAAATGCCTAATAAAAATTTTAATACTCCGTGTGTTGGATTCTTTTTAGGCGAGAGATGGGTTTGATCCATTCTCAAAGTTGACAATGGTGAAGTCGGACATGTGATAACAAAAGAGATTAGTATCCTGAGAATAGAGTATCAGGATAGGATCGGAACGATAACTCTATCCATGGACGATGATTAAATTCCTCTAATCTTTCAGGTTTTTGTAACTTTTTTCCTTATTCAAAACATTGAGTAACAACAACAACAACCCAGTTGAATCCCACTACAGTAGGGTTTGGGAAAAAACATTGAGTAATTATATGTCAATTAATAGCCCGTGCATCGCACGGGTACGAATCTAGTTTCTTCAACAAAAAAAAGAACATGAATGCCTCGCACATGCCGCGCTCACCGGGGTGGAACGCCCATTCCTCTCCATGGAAATCAAGTAAGTGGATGATGTGGCAGGGTGAGGTACATGATGAATTACTCACCACTGCATGTGCTCTTAAAGATTTAGAACTTGTTCATTTTAATTTATTGTTTTTACTAACAATTTGTTTTTATTAAACTACAAACCGCTTTAAATATATAACTATAATCAAATCATTTCAAAACTTAATCAACTACGATCAGAATTAATCAAGCAATAAATTGAAAAGAATAAGCTCTTAAAGAGTATTTGAGACTCATTTTATTATATACGGAAAATGATTTATAAATTAAAATTTTTTTAGAGAAAATAACGTCATTTTTAGCCTTAAAAGTTAGTACAACAGTCCCAAATTTATCCGTTAAGATTAACCAAAAAAAGTAATTAAAAAAAGGAACACTATCATTATTAAAATTCCAAACAAGCATACATGAATGATAAAGATGAAACTCTCTGGCTAGCTACTTAAATTTATACAAGTAATAAACCACACAAGTGACAAGGCCTAGTTTATAACTGTATATCAGACCATCTAACAAAAAAAGCCATAAACTCATTAAATCTAAGAATCATAAATACCTTTGCAAATGATACAATGTTGGGAAAAAATGGTGCCAATAATACTACCCTTCTCAATCCTCTTTCTCCTACTTTGCATATTCCATAGATGAATTCCATAAGTCCCATCTTCCCTCAATTGAACCATCTTAGCTTCCATCCATCTCCCATGTCTATCGTCCCTCGGCTTCTCGAAAAACCCGCCAATGTGAATCCAATCCACCGGGTAAAACGCCATCGGTGGCAACACGGTGAGGCTAAAAGAGTCATTTTTCGACACTCGATCCACCACCCTCGACACTAAATATGGACCATTGTGCCCCCACTTGTTCCCATCAAACGTTAGGGCGAATTCCCTCATGAACTCGTGCACCAACGCGTGCCCGGGTTCGAAAACCAGCACCGCGTTATTCAGCCTCGTCCACTTCCCGCGCCGGTCCACGCTCTGCGCTCCAATGCAGTTCTTGAGCCCCGAAAAGCTTCTTGTCACGACAAAATCCGTGTCCAAAAATACCCCTCCGTACCGATAAAGAAATGCCAACCGGATCAAGTTTGAGAGGTTCTGAGCAAAGGGTATCTCCCCGGGGTCCTTTTCCCCATTTCTCAGATCCTCGTACCATCTCTCTGCTGGAGTTTTCTCCAGCAGAGAGGGTAAATCGGGCGTCATCGCGATGACCCCGAACCCCGACTCGATCATCGGGCTCAGAATTCCTCTCCCGAGCTCGGAATCAAGAGACTGGGAGAGGATGATCAAGCACGCGTGTTGACGATGGGCCTTGAAGATGCTCTCCATTGACAAGAACTCTCTCGCTCCGAAAGAATCGGGAGAAGCGATCCACGTGGTGAAGAATCTCACTTTACACTCTCTTTCGGAGTAGAATTTTCTGACCCTTTGGTCAAATTGGTCTCTTCTTGAATTCTCATTGGATTTGAAGATCTGGGGGAAGGTGTTCTTGAACCAGAGCATCCTCTGCCTCGCGGTGGCATTGGGAGGAGGAACGAGGCGGGCCGATTGGGATTCGATGGAATCTCTCTTTAACGGCGTGGGATTATTATTCCGGTGGCGGCCGGGAAAAGATGGAGGCGGAGATGTGTCGGAGAAGAAGATGAGGATGACGATGGCGGCGAGGCTGGCGGCGGAGAAAACTTGCAGCTTCGTGCGGCTGCAGAATCTGTAGCTGTGGAGGTGGAACAACACAATCATCTTCTTTTTCTTCTTATTATTCATGAAAGCAATTTTCTTATTAGGGTCGTCATGTTCTGGCTTTAATTTGTTGAATGATTCCCTCAAGAAGAAGAAGAAAGCCAAACAAGACACAGAGAATGAAGAGGAGAGAGAGAGAGAGAGAGAGAGAGAGAGAGAGAGGATTGACTTCGTGGGATGAGGAGAAGAAAAGTTTTGGTAAAGTGTAATTTTATGTCAACGTAGCAATAGGAATTGAAGTGTTTTTTCCCTTTAAATATTCCACTGTCGGGGATAATTATTTTGTCTTACTCAATACAATATTTATACTTCCTCCGTCGTTAAATATTTGTCACACTTATATTTCTGAAGTAAAATTTCAAATTTTTTCAATTCATTTTATTTACATATTGGCATAAAAATAAAAAATAAAATTTACATATCAAAAAACTACATGAAAAGTTCTTCGAAATAAGAGGTGACAAGAATATTTTATTTTATCAAATAACTAATGAAAACGTAGAAATAAACAAAACTTCCCACGACTGATGGAAAAGCAAACATTGCAAATAATTTGGGACGGAGGGAGTACGTACTAAAATTTTAGGAGCATGGTGCATGTACCCAAAATTTGTACTCCATTTATACATTAAAGTTATATATGCACCGACATTTTGATGGTTTATACTAATACAAAGTGTTGGTGCATTAAAAAAATTTACACTAACACAAAATATTAGTGCATTAACAAAAATTAGCATTACACCAACACAAAATGTTGATGCATCCCTGTGGTGTACAAAATGGGTACAAAATTTCAGGGTACAAATAGCTTTTTCCTAAATTATATTCCTTCCTTTTAAGAAAAAAGCTCTATGTCTGATTTGGTATAGAGGAGAGGAAAAAATTGTGAGTCATTTAAAGTTTTTATAAAAGAAAAGAGGAGATTTTTTTAAACGACTCAAAAATAAAATAAGAAGTTTTTTTTACAGGACAAGGGGAGTACTTCATCTGTTCCAATACAATACCCGGAGTAGTTGATTGAAATAATTTTATATTCATTTTAATTTAAAAAATTGGTGTAGAATTAAAAAATAAATTTATATATACCCTCCGTCCCAAAAAGATGTACTCTTTACTATTAAAAAATTAATGAAATTTTTTCTGTACGTGTTACAACATAAATAAACCTTTTTTAGCCACATCGACAACTTTAGCTTTTGGTTGAATTGGTTCATTGACATGGTATCAGAGCCTTACAGACTACGAGGTCATGGGTTCGAAACACAGCGACACCCAATTTTTTTTAAGAAAATTAAAAATTCATGTGTTATGCTCGAAAAAGATTACGCCTGCACGTGAGAGGGTGTGTTCGACCATAAATAACTTTTCTTGGGTCACAATCACAAGCTTGAGCGTTTCATTGAATTGGTTCATTGACATTACGCGTTACTTGATTATTTGATAAAATAAAATATTCTTGTTTTGTAGAGCTTTTGACGTTTTTTAAATATGTATATTTTATTTTTAATTTCTACATAAAAAATTATATAAAACAAAATGTCACAACAATATTTTATTTTATGAAATTATCAATGAAATTATGCAAATAAACGAATTTATGAGCATGATATGAGGTGAGAAGGAATATTATTTATGAGGTCAAATTTATAATTTTTGTATTAATTTTATGACTCCTTTAATAAATGAAAAATGACTAAAATAAGAATAATACATGGCAAGGAGAAAAAAATATGACCGTCATGTTTTTACCTTAAAAACAGTATCTATAGTATTAATAATACCATTTATAGAATACGAAGAGCCTATTTGGGAATAGCCGAATAGCGTTAGAGATTAGCGTTAGCGTTTTGGATAAAATTTTAATGGTGTAAATTACATTGAAAACGCTAACGCTAAACGCTGTCTGTAGATAGCTTTTCCAAAATGCTAACGCTAATCGCTAACGTTATTTCCAAAGAAGCTTGAATTATCAAAAACGAATGTGGATGCAAATATACAGTCTCATATTATCCTTTAAAGGAAAAAAGAAAGATATACTCCATAAAATTTATTTTGAGAAAAAAATGAAAGCATGAAAATAAATTCTTTTTGTCTAATATTGTAAATCACAATCAAAGGGGTTAAGGGGGTGAGTAAAGATATGTTTTTAGCAACAAATAGAAACGATTAAAGTATTAAAAATTTAAAACCAAATGTTTCTTTGTGATTGACGAGAATAGAAACGATTGGTGCTCACGTTACCCACTTATTGCCACTGCAAGTTTTTCTTTTCATAGCTTCATTTTATATCAATACTCGTATTTTTTACGGTACTTCATTAAATTATTATATATATATATATATATATATATATATATATATATATATATATATATATATATATATATAATTTACAAATTTCGTCGGTAAGTAGATCACGTTGAAAAAAGGTACTTTTTTTCATGTTTTTCCGTTGAAAATATGAGGCATGTTATTAGGAACCATTTGATTTAGTCCTAAGACACATGAACTAAACTATATGAACTTCTCCCCTGGCTTGAGTGGTAGCAAGCCCACTCCCCAGGATTCATGGGTAAGTTCACTCAGGTTCGAGCCCCTGCGAAGGCAGCAGCATTGGCTCTTTGTGCGTCATTAGCTTGAGAATAGTATGAACAGATACTACCTTGTAATAGAGTCAATAGCATTCAAAAAAAAAACTAAATTATATTACCGGAGTAATTAAAAGATGAATCCAATTGATTACTTAATTCAACTCAATCGTTTATATACTGATTATTTTTTATTCAATTTCCTATTTATGATAGTTTAACACTTCTTCTCAAGTGGACAATCGAGTCGTTTTATATCTAACTGACTAACTATTTGTAAATGGACTCCCCTTCCTCATGAAAGGAATTGATAGAAAGTGTCAACTCCTAAAAGATCACAGATCGTTGCGTATGGACTTTCGGACGAATAATCAGATTATATGGGCCATATTCTATTTTTCATACGGATAACTGGGCTAAAGACTAATGGGTATCTAGGAATGGACTATAGGAATGGACTTCTACACGGGCACTTCAACAAATGAGGTGGACTTAAATTGTCTATATGGTAAAATGATAAAATTAGAATGTGGTAGAGATTATTGGATTTGGTCATAAGACACTTGGAATAAACCATATTAAAAGATTGAATCAAAAGGTTTTCAACGAACACGCCAGGACTCGTCGTGGAAAGCATGTAGACGCCTATCACACCGAGATTTCCAACTGCTTTCTTTTTTTATTTTATTTTTTGAGAATTTGACCATTGGGTAAAAAAAATTCCTCCTCTTTTTAAACCAACCACTTCTTCTACCCCAAATTTTCATCCATTCCCTCTCCACTAATGTTTCTTCTTATCTTTCTTTATATTTCCTTTATTCTCACTTTTTTAATATTACTTTCTACTCTTATTTAAATTTCCTAAAATGGACCAGACAAACCCAATCATGCCCGGGTTCAATCATACGCCAATTTCAATTAGGCCGGTTTTGGTCATTAGCAAACGGGCCAAACTCTCCAACCGCACTACATCTCTTCACCTCAAACGTCTCAACCGTAGTACATCCCCATCCGTCGTTTCAATAATAATAATAATAATAATAATAATAATAATAATTATAATAATAATTATAATTTATTATAATTATAATTATAATTATAATTATAATTATAATTATAATTATAATTATAATAATTATAATAATTATAATTATAATTATAATTATAATTATAATAATTATAATAATAATAGTAATACTAATACTAATAATAATAATAATTTAAATAAAATTTATATGAAAAATGCTTATGAATAGTTTTAAAATTGTTGTTGAAAAGGTTTGAAAAAAATGAAACTCTAGAAATAGTTGAAACTTGAAAGAATGAGGTAGAAAACACTCGGAAATTTAATATATTGAAAAGCTTGATTAACACTTTACACAATTCAATAAAAAAATTCTCCCATACTATTTTAAATCATAACTTTTTGAATAATAATAATAATAACCAATAATAGACGGAGGTGGGGTTCCCATGACATTGGAACCCAATGTCATGGGATGACCCGTGAGTGCTCTGGTGCCCCATTCGTAAAATTGACGGTTTCTACCCCACTAACTCTCCCGGTAAACCCCCAACCTCGCCCCGACCCGAACACATCCCCCTACCCCCATCAATTGCACCCCACAAGTTGATTTTGACTTTGGAGTCAAAATTTGACTTCAAAGTCAAAATCAACTTGTGGGGTGCAATTGACGGGGGTAGGGGGCGTGTTCGGGTCAGAGCGGGGTGGGGGATTTACCGGGGGAGTGAGGGTGGGTAGGAACCATCAATTTTACGAACGGGGCACCGGAGTGCCTCTGAATTATCCCATGACATTGCCGGGCAATATCATGGAAACCTTGATGATAGACGAAATGGTTAATGCATAATAAATTTAAAAGGAGGCATAGGCATTTGTAACGTGTCCGGTAGGGCTGTGCATCGGTCTAAATCAGGACCAACCCGGACCGAACCGGGACCGAATAAGAGCAAAGTAATGGACCGTAGATCGGACCGACAAAGTGTAAGACCGGACTGGGACTGGACCGAAAAAAACTAGACCGGTCCGGACCGGCCCGAATAAGGACCCCGAATAAGGGGAATATGCCAATTAATTGAAACTTTGAATTGAAGAGAAACATCACTGCCCATCACTGCTATCCAATTTTAATTTCATACTTCATTATGTTTTAAATTAAAAAAACAAAACAAATGGGAAATAGCTACTCGGTAATATCACTGCTCATTACGGTAATGAATGAAGACCAACTAATTAAGTGTTCGGCCGAATCGAAGTTGACAAAGTGTTTGTCGTTTGATATTTTTTTGCCGGCGAGAAGAGAGTGGCCTATGGATTTGCTACTAGCTACTCCTTATTGGATAGGGTTGTGCATTAAGGTGGATTCCATAATTTGAGGTAATGGGTTTGTGTATGGTAAAGCCCATATACTAAAAGTCTAAAATAGTAATATAAAAGCCCATATAATCGGTCCACCGGTCTCACTGGGTTTGGACCGAACCGGACCGGAACCCGGATAACGAAAATTGATGGACCGGAGACCGGACCGAATTAGGATCGGTCCGGACCGGTCCAGACCGGTTTTGGCCGGTCTTCGGGTCGGTCCGGGTTTGGACCGAATAATGCACAGCCCTAGTGTCCGGTGTCCTTGAGCAGTAATATCAATGTTTATGGGGCTATGGATGGAAGTTGGTAATTTCAATATTTATTCGCAAAATAATACAGAATAAAACATCAAGACATTTAGGCTGATGTTCTGTTCGCCTGATCTCATCTAATTTTTTGAAAATCTGATCTGGTTTGATTTCACTTCATTACAATTATAATTAAATATATTTCTGATCTAATCTGTTCTGATCTGATTTGATGTGATTTGATCTGATTATAATAAAAATAAGTAATAAATAGAAAAAATAAGTTGAACGGAACGTTGTGCCTCTTTGGTTGGGAGGAAGGAGAGAGAAATGAAAGCATGATGAGAGGGAATGAAAAGAGATGTCCCTCCATCTTGTTTGGTTGAAAGAAGGGAATTGAAGAAAAGCAATAACTTTATTTTTTATTTTTTATATTTATAATTTCTTTAATTTTTACTATTATTTATTCATTTATTATTTATTTATTTAATTCAAGTATTTTTATCTTTATTTTTATTAATTTCATTTATCTTTTTATTCTGTAATTGTTATTATTATTATGATTATGATTATTATTAGTATTTTTATTTATTGTTGTTATTCTTATTCTTATTCTTATTCTTATTCTTATTAATTTATTATTATTATTACTTTTATTATATTTTTCATTTTATTTATTATTATTACTATTATTATTTAAATTTATTTTTTGCTTTCAAGATGGAGAGTAATATGACGCTAGAACCGAGAGGAAGAGGGGAGTAAATAAGAAACTTTCCGATTTGGAGGGATTGATTTGGAGGGGATAGGAGGGATTTAAAGCTAAAATTTCGGACTCCCTCTCCTTCTAACCTAACAACGTTGAGACAAGTATGTTGAATTGGGACTTTTAAAATGCTTATTTATCAGAATTTTTATTACCGTATACTTATAATAGGATTTGTAAAATTTAAAATAATATGAGAAATCACTATTATATTATTATTACTAGTATTTAACCCGTGCAATGCACGGGGTCAAACGCATGTTATTTTTAACTCTGTTAAATTTCTGGTTTTAGTAAATGATTAAAAAATATAGCTAAATATAATATGCAACGTTAGAAGTTTAATGAATGATATGACATAAACAGAGTATGCTAACTAAAATTCATGTATATAAAATTGAAAAGAATGAATAAATGTTTTAATTACAACCAATTTTTTTGGAAAACTTCAAGATAAACCACATTTTAGTGCAATTGCAAGGGTTACCGTTGTTATCTAAAACTAACACTTTCAATCTTTTCTTAGTTTTTACTCGTGAAACTGCAACATAAAGTTGACCGTGAGTGAATACCGATTTGGTCAAGAATAGTCAAACAAATGACAGTGTTTGGCCTTGACTTTTATTTATCATCATGCCAAAACATAAAGATATTAGAAATTGTCTTCTTTGAAACTTAAACAGTTATCCAGAATCTGACAGTGTCAAATTCATTCGCGGTATGTAAACTGTCTCCCCGACATTGTTTCCTGATACAACAATTGCACTGATAACATTTCTTTGCAACTCTTCAACCATTAACCTTGTACCATTACACAACCAGATGTTTGATCAATGTTTCTTAATAACATAATTGGTACTCCTTTCTTCAAAATAATTCTGTGGTTGGAAATCCCAGAACACTTGATAACGTTCAAAAACTCAGTTGTTATCCAACCACCATCCATTCCTATATCTGAATCTGCTTGACATGAAGAATCAGAGCTCAAATACTTCTTTTTATCTCGAGGAATAAGAGACAAAACAAAATCATTGATCATTTCAACAACTTCAAGCGTGGTGCTAATCAGTGGCGGATCTAGAAAAATAAAGGACTGGGGGCAAGAATAACAGGTCGGGGGTTTGGAGGCGACACCTCCAATATTTTTTGAAATATATTATGAAACGATAAAAATAATGTGAAATTTTATTTAAATATTGTGAATTGCTATACATAATTTATAATTAAGTAAATTAGCAATTTTAAATTTTAAATTTTTATATATAAATAGATTACTAAAACTAATTTTCAAGTAAGGATTTTAAATGCTTTGACCTACTTTTTTTAAGCGAGATTTAGGAAATTAATGGGGGCATATTTGAATTTTTGGTGGGGGCATATTTAAAATTTTTAAAAAATCATGGTATCTATTAAAAGGTATTTGGAAGTCATTGGGGGCAAGTGCCCCCATTACCCACAATGTGCATCCGCCCATGGTGCTAATAAAGATCTATCCATAAAAAAGTATAATCTTTCATATTTTCTAATAAGTCTAGATACGTGAATTCCACTATACTCTTAAGTTGAGAAATTGAGTTCAGGATCAAGGATTCAGATGGAATTTCAATTTCACCAATTTCATCAATAACCACGCCAATTAAGCTGTCCATCTGCAATCTTGATTATCCACTTAGAAAAAAGTTGTGTGTCACTATTAACGTGGGAAGATTGAGATAAATGCAATGTAAATACTTTACAATATGTCCACAAATTCGATTAAAAAAATTGATCATAAAAATATGATTTCATTATGTTTTTTTAACTCGTGCTATTATGTATCGTTGGAATTCTGCGAACTTGGCAGCAGGTACGCTAAAATGCTTCGTCCCTTACTCGTTAGAAATTGACTCATGGCAAAACAACATTGAAGGCTAAAGTACTCAAATAGAATATAATAACTCAAGGCTAAACATTCATTCAAAGCTTAAAATATTAACATTGAATAAACTAATGGCTTCAATGCTTAAAAGGAGGCTTCCGTATTTCTATATCCATATTATCCATTAATAAGAAAAGACGTTAAAAGTTGATTCATTCACGATTGAGATCCAAATAAAGCAACACTGAAAATTCAATTTGTTTAAAATTGAATTACAGAGGAAGAAATCAAAAGAGAATATGAACACAATCCAAAACTTCATCCATTTCAAGATTGTCTTTAATTAGTTAATAGCAAGGGGTATGTAAAGATCTGAGAAATGAATCAAAAAGAAGTTTCAAATTAATACCCGTTGACAATTTGCAAATTCTGCTACTTCGTAGCTTTCAATATGTGGTCTTTCTCTTCCGCCGCTTCGTTTTATATATATAGTTGTGGAAATTTCAAGCAATTTCGACTCCAACCTCGCCACCTTTTCCTATCTTTCTATGAGTAAAAAGATAAACAAACTTGAATTATTGCATGAATAATAAATGTTAAAATTAAGGAAGAATACACAGAGATTTTAATATTTCATTTGATTGAGTTTTTAAAACAAACCAATTTCAAATGAATCTTCTCCAGATTTGGCAAATCGAGTCCCCGATTGTTCAAGATTTATGAAATATAAAGCTTACTAAATTGTGACAAAAAATTAGCTTAGCTTTCAACGATTCAGAATGAAAGGAAACAAACGCAAATGAGATGTTCCGAATAAAATTGCCTTAAAGAGTTAAAGGTATTCCCCATGGCTGTATTTAAATATCTGTAGGTTTACTTCATAAGCATTGCTGATTTCCTTAAAATTCTGTTAACGAATAGTTAACTTAAAGGTATTTCCAATGGTTGTATTTAAATATCAGTAGATTTACCTCATAAGAGATTTACCTCATAAGCATTGCTGATTTCCTTAAACTTTTATTCTGCTTCGGGTTCTCTGCAGGAAAGAATGATTTTTTTATCAAAGAAACAAAAAAGTAACGAACATGGAATGTGAAACATAGTCATCCACGTAAAAGTTTTTGAGAAAAACTACAAAATTCAAGTAAAGAATGAAAAATTATTTGGAAGAAAGTATTCATGAAGCAGTAGAACTATGAAGCGTTGCTGAAAATCTGCATTAAATCATACTGTGAAGTATTTTCTTAATTTCTCGGTCATGAATAACGTGTCAAAAAAGTGACACATATTGGAGTTTGAATCCTTTATATACAAAGGAAAGCATACAGGATTCCGTTGAGTACATTTTATATGTCTTTCACACTTTCACACACTTACGTATCACCACCCAGTTCATATCTTAGTGTAGTAAGAAAGTACTATGAGTTTTTGTCCACCTTTAATTTTTTTCAGTCAACCGTTTTCATTCTTTGACCTACAACTAAATAAAATATATATTGTATATTAATTAGATAAAATAATATTTTGAAAATATTTGATATAATAAATCTAATAAAATTATTTTTGTATCAATATCTAATATCATTTTTATTTAATTTGATGTTAAAATTTATCAATTTTGACTAAAAAAGTAAAAAATGGACAAATACTCAGGAAGTATTTGATTAACACAGTTGCATCAGTTCGTATTTTAAAAGAGCATTAAGAAACTATTTAGTTAACACAGTTGTGCTACCATCATGACATAGAATGTGTTAGTTTTGGAGTGGTTTTTTGGATTTGGCTGTAGTTTTTCTTTTTTGAGGGCAACTCCCCTCTTGTATTATACGAAGTAGTTTTTTTATTTGAATAAAATCAACTCTTATTGATAAAAAAACATCAAATATCTATCATTACGCACGAGGATGCTTTATTAGCTGAAAACTCATGCCTTAAAGACTTTTCACCTGCTGAGGAAATAAAAATGACATCATTCTGCATCCAAGTGAGGACAAATAAATTAGCAAGATGATATTTATAATATTACAATACATAAGACATTTTGCTTTACGGTAGAATCTATGATACACAAAATAAAACCTGAGCTAAGGAAAAGGTATTGTTTAAATTCATGAAATTTGTAAAGGTACGGTCAATAAAACACATGTTGATCACATCAAGAGACGACTCAAATTCATTTAAGCAAGCATTCGTGACCTCAACTTTGAAAATACATGAGTTGTCGATCAACGTCTGCTTAACTGCTTCTAGTTGTGTATATCCTCCTAGGACATGCTTTTCATGGCAATACAAACCATAGTTAGTGATTATGGATTAATCCTTGATGGTATTCACATTATTGGGCCCAAAACATGATAAAAAGCCGAGATATGTTCTACACATTGTGTCAAAATTTATGTTGGCAGTAGAAAATGAACCACATTGATTTTAATTAAAAAATCAATGAATACGAAATTAAGTTGAAAAAGAGGATCAAAATAGTATAGAGACAATAACATCATGGTTGAAACAAAAAAAATATTACAACGAAATACACTCATGAGCATCATTTACACGTACCATAAAATTTTAGCATCTCATAACATGATTTGTGCAATAATAAACATTCCAAGGTTTTCAAATATGACAAAAGTAGCACTATCTAATGACTCATTTACTCTAGACTTAATCCAATACCTGTGTGCGACCATTCTATGATGTTTAAATTTAAAAAGCTCTATTCAATCCAAATTTTTGATAAACAGCAATGCAATTGAGCATCATCTATCCATTTCACCACACAATTTGGAACAGAGAAATTAATACTAATAAGAACCTGAACATAGTAGAAAATCTTGCCCTTTTCATTTCCATCTTCTTCTGAAGCATACATGGCCGGAAAAAAGTTTCAATAAAATGGAACAAAGAGAAATTTCTTTTTTCCATCACTTGTTTTTTACCCGGAAAAAAGTCCATTAAAAAATACATCATATCCTTGAGCTAGTTTTGGAAGAGAAGAGAAAAATGGAAAAAGCAACGGCTAGTTTTGATGGAAGCAATGCATGTGATGACTGATGAGCAATAATACTTTCTTCCGTGACAGTGTGTGTGAGCAAATGGAGAAGGTCCTGAAGCTTCCAAAATAGTACATGACAGCTAGCTTCTTCAACGGGTTCAAGCAATTTCAAGACATCAACCTAAAGGCTTATATTAATGTGCCATTTTTATCATCACTGAAATACTTGTGTAAGATATTATAACTTCATCTTCAAGGCTTTAGTTGGCAATAACAGGGAAAGTCAAGGCCAAATTGAAAGCTAAATTTTAAAAGCAAAACTAAACACATACAATTTTGATTCCAGCAAGAAAAACAATTTTTTTTTAAAATGTTTGGACAGAAGTTATACCCATCATCATTGTATTAATGAGTAAAAAGTGTTTCATATATTAATGATATAATTTCTTTGATTTCATTCTTTTCATAAGAAGTCTGTGCATGCATGAAAATTTGAGCCGCATTTTGTCACTTAGTGTTTTCTTGTCCTACCTATCTTTATGCTAAAACCCCCAAAACTCATAAAAGGTACAAAAATTCTTTTTTAAAAGCAACAGAAATCAGATCACAATACTTAGCAAGTGGGTGGCGAACAAATGAATATTACTCCTAACTAATACGAAAGAAATGACTTACATATTCAAGCAGGCAATGAGGTCAGAATTTGAGTAAAACTGGAGTTAGAGGCATCGAACACTTTGTTGTTTGTACATACACGCACCCAAGTTCTTATTACTACTTAATGACATCGGTAAGTTATTGTATTAGATAATAGGATAAGGTGTAACTGACCTCAAATAGTCAAATATGAGAGCAACACCATATTAAATTTCCCTTGTTTGTTAGTTACAGTTACGTTTTAGGTAGTAAATGCAAGAGTGCGTCTAAGATGTAATGAAAAATAACCATTCTGTTCTAACAGGGGTAAGACTAAATGCAGCTTAACCCACAAGACTATAACAAAGTTGGTAACTTGGTATTATTAGGACGTTATTGTTATTGAGTAATATATATAAGACATTAAGCTCCTACTTTTCCTAGAGGCTGCTAATAGAGTCTAAGGATTCGGGGATGGCAATTGTCAGGTAAACAATCTTTTGATAAATTAATTCTTGATATGTTCATCAAGGTCATAATAAATGAAGTGTCAAGTTTGTGTTACTTTGGTATATTTTTAGAAAGAAAAACTACCACTCCCCACTTACCCCCAGAAACAAAATGACCAACTAAGAATACATAAGAACAAAGATCAGGGCAAGCCCTACTTGAAATATAACCTCATTTACCCTAAACTTTTTTTAATTCATTTATATGAATCACAAAAAGCTACTAAATTCCATGGTAGAAGAAACATAGCAAGTTAAGATAAGAGAAACATACATAGTTCTTTTTGGGTTATAGTTGATGATTAATGTTTTAAAATAGATCAAGTGGGATCTAACTTCATGCTATAAAGCATATATCATGCTATAAAATATACTTTATTTGTTTTGCAATTTGTCCTCTTCCTTGTTTCTGAATTGAAAATTTAGGAATCTAAAATACTAAAAAAAACACAGAAAAAAATTGAGAGTAGTTTCATACTTTATTAAATAGAGATAGAAATTTGTGAAATATACCTAAGCAAAAAAATGATTAAAACACTCCTTTTATATATATAACAGATATACCTTAAAACCCTATTTAGACATGAAACCATGGTTAGCCCTATTAGTATTCGAATAATGAGCCTTTGAGAACTCAAATAACAAAGAACATATATAATAAGATTTAAGAAGTGAGAATTCTTATATACAAAACTGATACAATTATTGCTAACTTGACCTTAAGAACAAAAAGAGGAGAAGAATCTGACCTGAGATTGAGGCTGCATATGTTGGGGGAAGAGAGAATTCTAAAGGGGTGTCAGTCATAGTGATACAGCGGACTACCTTTGCAAATATAAAACTCCAGGCTAGCCTCTTGCAATATTTAGGGGACGCTTGAGAAAAACAACCTAAAACATAATAAGATTTGTGAATCGGAAATTATTATTTATGAAAATGATAAAATTATTACTAACACAACCTTAAGAATGATTTGAGAAAGGAACGACCAGCCTTTTTTCAGAGCAACAAAAAATTAAGTGTTTAAAGTTTAAACTTTTAGCATAGAAAAAGCAATACTCAATGAAATATTGCCTATGCTAACCTATTTTGTCAGGATTGTAGAGGTCATAGGTAGATATATGCTGACATCTGCTATCTCTGTTACTAAAGATTCTTTATAAAGTTTCATCCATGAAAATTGGGAAGCAAAAGGTTTTGAAACTTGAAATAATTAGCAAATTGCATCAACAGTATATCTTCTTGGGATTCATACGATGGTTCAAATTTCAGCCATGGAAATTGATAAGCAGAATCTGTTGAAACATGAAATTGGCAAATCGCATGAATTGAATCAGAAAGATGCTCAATTAGATCGCATACAAAAAAACAATAATATTATACAAATTAAAGGAAACAATACAAAGAATATGCACGAAAAATGGGTGATTAACAATTAAATATGAAATTGGAAACATACCAATTAACAGCGATTGCAGCGTCAAAGAAAATTTTCATATGGAATATCAAATCTCAATTTTGAATCTCAATTTTGGTATTTTGGATCTCAATTAAGAGAGAAGATCGGATGAAGAAACATGGTATCTTAAAGTTTCCTTCAGCAAATTAGAGAAGACGTAATCGAGGGAGAAGTGGACGAATATGCAGAATTTCGAGAGTTTACCTTAGTGGAGAAGTGGACGGCTTAATTTTCGAGAGTTTCCTTCCAGGAGAAGAGACTGCGTTTCCCTTGTGCGATAGTTTCCTTCTGCGGGAAAGCAAAGATCGGCCAAATATTTAAGAGTTTCTTTGGAGAAGACCAGCGAGGAAGGGATGCGTAAAAACTGCTTACTTTTGGAGAAGAAGCAATTCAATACTTTCCTTTGGTGAAACCCTCCGTTTGAAGAAGTCTAAGAGGAGGTGTGTACACGTGTCCATTTTAAAAGGTGCCACGTGTCAAAATTCTAAGCTATCAACTCTCAAATATTATATTAAATGATTATTTTTAACATTAATACCTTTATTACAATTATAGTATATGTTGATACATAACCTCTCAACTTATTTATTACTCATCTCAACTTATTTATTATTATTATTATTATTACTATTATTATTATTATTATTATTATTATTATTATTATTATTATTATTATTATCATCAAATTGTATAAAAATAAATACAGAGTATTATTGAAGAAAAATATCCAACTTGGATAGCACAATATTAGTATAGTTCTTTTCCGAGGGAGCCTATATTGTACATTCGGGTGTACCTAGAGCCAGGTACACTTAACAAAGAAATATTTGTACTAAATAGCACTAAAATTTAAGTCATTTACTTAAATAGCACTTAAATTGTTTTATTCTCTACATAGTACTTAATAATGTCCATAATGTCCAGTGATGGCCAACATTTACTCGAATAATGGATAATGACTAAAAATGCAACATTAGGAAAAAAATACATGTGATGCTATTTAGGGAAAGTCATTATGTTTTAGTACTATTTAAGTAAATTCTATTTTGAATTAGCATAATATGCGTTGTGAAGCAACATACTAACGTTGTGTTCAATTTCATACATTTATCCATAGAATTATAATACTCCGTACTTGTTTACAAACAATATAGTATTAATTCTAAAATAATGTAATATTCATTCCAAGCCTGCTCTGCTCAATGTAGTGTTCATTCTGAAACATTTTTTAATTACAAGTTTATTGCTCCCGCCGTCATAAAATGATCTTCTCAATTCGATCTACGAGGTTTGACTAAAATTATTTTCAATTCAATCTACTTGATTATAGGTGTAAAATTAAAAAATAAAAAGAGTAAATTCTATAATTGGTCCTTGATAACAAGATGTTATCCCTATTTAGTTCTCTATTATCAAATATTACCTCCGTGGTCTTTCTTTTATGGGCACTTTTTTGCAAATATATTTTTTTGATCTTCTGTCATTTTGATATTAATTTAAGGACTAAATTTGACATCAACCTTATGTTCAGTGACGTATTCTGATGTCTGTTAGATGGACAACACAACAATAATGACTATGACTGTGAAATAGGATTTCAACAAAAGACTATATCTATAGACTATAATTGTAGTAGAAAGCGACCATAATTTACAAACGACGCATCAGAAGCGACCTCTGAAATTGTCTATGACAAGAAAGATATATTATCATTGTAAAATTATACCTTTATCCTTCAAATTAACCCCAACATGACAAAAAATCATAAAAAAGACTGGTTGTGGAAAGCTACACGTCAAAGAAAGACCATCGGGGTAATATTTGATAATAAAGAACTAAATAGGAAAAAACTCATATTATAAAGGATCAATTATGAAATTTACAAAAATAAAAATCAAATATTTTAAAACTACATCAAAAGTTATACAAAATAAAAATGACATGACTATATTATTTTATCAAATAACTAACGAAAATAAGTAAAGAAAGTGATTAAGATTTAACCATGTGAATAGTGACTCGGAAGATCATTTTAAGATAAAGGGAGTAATATGTAATTTTTATTTTTTAATTTCAGACCATTTTTGGGAAACCTATCTTACCTTGGCCTTGGTGACATTGGGTAGTTGTAGATGTGGTTCTACTAGGAGTTATTTCAGGTTAATCCAAAATCAACTAATGAAGCATCCTATCATATTACTCTCAATCTAAACAAATTTTCCTCATATAAACCCATCTTTAAACCCTGCTCCATTACTATATCTAAAAGACAGAAAGCAAGTGTTTTACATGTAGGAAATGTTCTCTTACAAAATGGAATAGAACTCCTTGATGAACAGAACTCCTTGATGTTTTACATGTCCCAGATTTTCATTATAATCTATTTTCTGTCCAGAACTTAGTCTCACTATCTTGTTCCTTTATCTTTCATCCTCCTCAGTGTTTGATTTAGGGTACTGCCAAAAAGACTCCACTGCTAGTTGGCAATGAGACTTTCATAAATTTCAATAGTCCTTAGAAGAGTGGCACGAAGGGCCATAAAGTGACAAACCATCCATGTTTGGAAATTATGGTTCCAAATCAACAAGAACTTTGATAGAGAAAACTTTATTGTTAATGATTGCTACAAAAGATATAAACTCAAAAGAAAAAAAAGACACTATATCCTGAGAATTATAGCTGCCTAGCTACTACGCGCACCTGTTCTTTTGTAACTTCTGTAGCTAGAAGAGAAGTGCAATTAGAGAAGAATTGGTATTTACCATTTTATTATTACTATCATTCGCAGAGTAATCACAGTTCTCATTCTTCATCGGCATCACTTCCATCAACCTCGGCATCTGGACTCCTCAAATAGTTCGTCCCATTTGGCCCCAAAATCATATACCTAAATTGTGTTGTACTTGACAGATACATAAAGAAAACTCACAAGTTTTCATGCCAAACTGGCCCTAAACGTGAGAAGAAATCCAAAAAGGTAAGCAATTGATACCTCTCCAGAATGAATTTTCCTTCCTTGTACTTCTGAAGCTTTTCCTGTGCAATCTCCTGAAATCAACAGAAGACAAAGCATCATCTGGTAATTCCGTCAACAATCACTGTTCTAAGTGAAACGGTGTGAAGAAATGTGAAAGCGGGAACCTCTCAACTCATAGAAATAGAGGTGAAGGGTAAGGTCTATGTGCATCTACCCATTCAGAGACCCTAATTCGGAGTTGGGCAAGATATAGTGGACATTTTGGTTTCGTTTGTAATGTGAATGTTAAAGACTAAGAGAGGCTCACATATTTCCAACCAAGAGGAGAGCCACAACCCACACAGAATATGTCAACAACAGTGTGCATTCCAGTTGTCATCATCCTATCTTCTCTCTCACCAACAGTAATATTCACACTGTGTAGCATGAGAGGAGACTCGGCATCATTCATACCATTTAGAAGTATAAACAGTTACGCCAAAACATATCAGTTTCGTTCTGCATATGAGTACCAGAAGAGAGCATTTTTCTAACAACTGAGTTTATGTGATTAGTAATATAACTGAATAAGCAAAGAGCACTAACACTTTATCAAATAGATAAGCGTTCCCATGACTGCTTTGGAATGACTGGAAACGAACATTAAACTTGGGTTAGAATATGGCAGATGATTTGAGGGAATGCTGACTATTTGTAGAGATAAATGGGATATATTATAGTTTACACAAGTGTGTATGAATCACATGGAAAACAATCATTTCATGGATAAGAAATCCACTAGCATAGATAAAGAACAACCAATAACAAAAATAAAAGAATCATGCTGTACATTGTGATTGCAAAAAAAGACTTTGAAATTAGGGCCGGTTTGTCCTTCCGGAGGAGGACCTTTTTCTGTTTCAAGGCATACAAGGGCTTCAATGCCAGAATAATACGTACTAAGTCCTCAATAGGACTACAAGATGTCAAGATCAGTGGCTAGTGTCCGAAAGACAAAAATGCCAAACTGAAGTGTGGTCAGATGGAGAATAAAAAATGTAAGAACTAATCAATGTTGAAGATTACCATTAAAAAACTGTGTTAAGTTCCTTAACTGTAAAACATGCTTAAATGTGATAGTGTTTGGCCCCTACGCCGCGTGGATACAAACAAATGCTTGACTTTGGAAGTGATAAGCTTAAACAGCTATTCTTAAAGAGGACATTATACATTTAGACAGACACACAAAATATAAGCTTGTGCCAAATGCATTTCTCCTTTACAACCTTTGTCTACCTCACCAACATTCATAGCACACTGGTGCTAAATAGTAAATAGCCATATCTAAGCACATGAATTCCCAAAGCCATTACATAAACTGATAAACCGAACAAGAATGATATGACAAATCGATGCAAATACTCTACAAACATTGCTCCAAAATCTTCTCCATGCAGAGCCTGGGAATTTTCATGGTTGCGCCCTCATGCTTTTCACCTAGATCCTGCCTAACCCGATCAATCTCACCTAACATTCTATTCTATCAGGCATTTCAAGGGAAGCTGAAACTAATCATGAAAGTACACAATCATTCCCAGAAAGGATCAACTAAAACTATGAATACACTAATTCTGCAAATTTCACATGCCAAACATTACACGCACATTGATTACAGAGAGTTACTAGAGAGACCTTAGACACAATGTCATCCTCGAGAGCCAGATGCGTGTGACAGTACTTGCATCCGTACATATTCCCTTCCAGGAAAGTTAGGAAAAGCCTACCCATCGTTAATTCCACTTTTCGTTCGAGCAGTCAAACAAGCAAGCAAGTTATTGCTTCTTCGGCCTGGAAACACAAACAAACACGGGCCAACCAAAAAGCAAAAAATAGAAAAAGCAAAATCCAGATTCAGATAACGATATGTATAAACGAAGGATCGTAGGAACGAAGGAATCAATCCAATTGGAGGACGAAAAGTTAGATGAAGAAAGGAAGATGATCACCTGACGCTACCAACCAGTGGAGAAAAGGGGCCAAAGTGGAGCAATCGTCAAACCACAGTTGAGAAGGATGCCAATTTATGCTCTCCATTTGAGTATATGATATCTGGAAAAATAAAATGGGTTACTTGGTCACCAAATTACTCTCGAATAGACCTCGGCAGACGGCAAACCCAGGTCGGGTCTGAGCAAATTAACACTTAACACAATTTAATTACGGAGTATGAATTAAGCTATTTCTACACTATAAATTGTATTCTATTTTGTACTCCCTCCGCCCCCATAGATCTTCCTAATAGTCCTTTTTCTTTGTCCACAGTAGATCTTCTCATTTCATTTTTTAACAATTAAAATACCACAACTACTCCCACTTACTTTATTTATTACACCTCACCCACCTCATTTAATACACTCCACCCATTTTCATTAAGGGTATTATGGTAAACTTTTATCTTTTTTCAACTCTCCTTAAAAATCACCAAAAGTCAAAATGAAAACATCTTAGGGGGACGGAGGGAGTATCTCGAAAGCATGCACTAACATTTTATATTTTTAGAAAATGGGCGGGCATGCTAGACCTAACGGGCAAATCTTAAGTCTGGATCCATTCATATAAAAATTGGGCTTGGCCCGGCCCACCAATATGGATAATTAATGTCACCTATATTCTAACCCCTATTTAGGCATTTCTACTCTCGAGTATCTCCCTTCATTTTTAAAAGAGTAAATTTTATAATTAGTCCTTTATAATAGGGGATTCCCTATTTATTTCTCAATTATCAAATGTTACCCATTGGTCCTTTTATAGGTATCTTTCCACAAATAGTCCTTTTTTTAATCTTCTATCATATTAGTGTTAATTTGAGGGCAAAAAATGTAATTTAACAATGATAATATATCTTTTTTGTCATACACAATTCCAAAGACTGTTTCGTTTGCGTCATTTGTAAATTACAATAACTTTCTTCTACAAATATAGTCTACAAATGTGGTCTTTCGTTGGAATCCTAGTCCAGAATCATAGTCATTATTTTTGTATTATCCGCTTAACCAATATGAGAACACGTCACTAGACATAATGTTGATGTCAAATTATATATTTAGCCTTCAAATTAACACTAAAATGCCAGAAGATCAAAAAAAGGACCATTTATGAAAGATACCTATAAAAAAAAGGACCACTGGGGTAATATTTGATAATTGAGGACTAAATAGGGAAACCCCTCTGTTATAAAGGACCAATTATGGAATTTCTCTTTTTAAAATCTCTTTTATCCAAAAACAGTGGAAATTTTGAACAAAATAAATTAATTCTATACTTGCTTTATATTTTAATACTAAAATTATATCTTATAAATGAATGTTTTCAGCTTATTTAAAACTACTGTACATTAAGGCTCAGCTTTTTGGGGTTCTAACATTTAATTTCAAATATTTTCTATCTTTTTTCGATCTCTTTTAACTTGTTCTAGTCTTTTCCAACTACATCTAGTTTTTTTTTTCTTCAAATTATGCACTTTCTTCCATCAATCACTCCAAAAAAATTATTTAAGCATATCTTTCATATTATTAGTATCATCATCATCATCATGAAGATTATTATTATTATTATCATTATCATTATCATCATCATCATTATTATATATCATTAGGCGGCCATGTGTTATGAGGGTTTGACGGGTGTAAAGATGTATGATGTTGAGTGATTAAAAATATGTATTATGGAGAGTGTAAAAGAATGTGATAAGGTGTTAATGTGTGTTAAATTTTGATTGGTTCAAATGAAATTAGGAAAGTTGGGGGCAAAGGCGAGATGGCCCTCACGCAGAAGGGACCACACCCGACCAACGAAACTCTATCATGGTGAATGAGCGTGTATGGAACGTGAAGGAGGTAGTGATTTAATTATTGTTTTTGTCTTGTCTAAATCACTCTTTTTAATTATTAGAGAAAATATATAAATCACATGAAATCAGAAATTTTTAATGCAAACTAAAAGTCGTTAGTCCCAAATCAATTTTGTTAATATTTTTATGTATATTTCAACTATTTTTGTTTGGTAGAGACATCATTAGATTAGTTGTGTCCATTTTTTCTTTCAATTAAGAGTAAAAAGAATATTGTTTCCTTTGTCACCTTATTTTTATTACATGTATTAGTAACATGCAAATTAAAAATGAAAAATAAACATATGATTGATATTAACTTTTAAAAGTAAAAAAGTAAGAGTGAGTATATGAGTCACAAATACAACTAATGTGATTTTGGACAAAAGTATACTGACATACTGAAGAGTATGGATTATTTAATTAAAATATGAAATCCATTAAATATAATATATAATAATTTCAACATTTTTTTTGTTTTTTCTAACTCCTTCCATTATTTCCAACTCCTACTTTTAGAAATTCTTCTAAGTTCTTTCAAGTTTTTCTAGTTTTTTCCAACTCCTTACGATTTCTTCTAACTTCTTGTAATTTTTCTATTCTTCTAGTTTCTTCTAACTTTTTTTAAAAAATTCAACATCTAACATTGTTTTTACAATCCAAATGAATAGAGCCTAAGTACGAAAATTACAGAATGCAATGTAGGGCTTGAAAAATAATTTAAATAAAATCACAAAAATAAATTCTGAGTATAATATATTCAAAAATTAGAACAATGTGGAAACGTTCAAAGAGCAACATGATCGAAAAAATGGAGGAAATGTATACCCAAAGGAATCCAAAACTCAAATGGACTGCAAATTTAGGAAACTCAAATGAAGTTGCTTGAAAACACTCACTATTTTTGAAGTTTTTCTCTTGTTAGCCATACACCATTTTAAAAGATGCAAGAAATGCTTCTCCAAGCATTAGATGCTTGGAAAACATTCAGTGTTAACATGCTCCAACGAGCAGATCTTAGGGAGCAACTGTATTATATTATTTGGAAGCACTAATGGAAGCATTCCCATTATGGATGATCTTAGTTAGCTTAAAATGTTGTAGCAGCTTGCACGTCATCCTAAGAAGATTCTCTATCTCCTACAACACAGGCCTTAATAGAGTGAATGACTCATAAGTAATACAATTGAAGTTGAGATATTCAAGTTTTTTTGAATTTCATTAACTATTTAGCTCAAGTTGGCATATACGAAAGATCAAGAGATTTGGCTTGATTGGATAAGAGTCTTATTTCATGTTGGTATAAATTAAACAAAAGTTTTGGAAACTTATTAAGAGTCCTGATTCCTATTCACTTGAAATATTAAAGAGTTCTGCAATTACCCTATTAGAGAAGAAAAGAGTTTATTTCATGTGCATGTGATTCAAGAGAAAGAGAGATACGCTACCATACTTTATAGCTACGGCATGAGAGAGTTGTTTCTTTTCTTCTCTTCCGGAAGTGATTGTTACACACAAAAGAGTGATGAAATTCCCTTAGGTCTCAAGTTCTAAAATTGTCCCATATTGAGTAAGTGTTGATGTAAAATTGGATTGAGGATGCCTTGAAGAAGATGTAATAGCCATGGTCTAAGTTTGAACAAGCTTCTTGCTAGATCTTTGCAAAAAGGGAGTTTCTCTATTACATTAGAGAATTTTTCTTGCTGTACTGACTGGCATAATCTACCTCAAAAGAAAATTACACAAACGTGAGCCTACATATTCAAGATTTTTCTCCAAGTTACATAAACATATTGCTAATTATGTACTAATTCCAATGTTCATTTTATTTTTATGTGTGATTGAGAATATGCTATATCATTCTATTTGTCACCACTTTATGAGGGTTGTGTTATAGCATCACCCCAACCTGCTATTCTTGTTTGATCCAATACTTATTTCATTCATTTGTTGTGAATTAGGTCCCTCATTACATTCTGGATCTTTCAATTGGTATGAGAGATATTAAGCTTAATGGGGAATCTAAGTAAACTAGACATGATTTATAAAGTGCATGTAGGAAACCTCGAGATGGTAAAGAATATGAATCAGATACGAAATATGTACTCAACCATAAGGAAAGCCGAATTGAAATTGACTTTACCGTGAAAGAATAAGCTGCACATTCGTCCGCTCTTGAAGACACAATCTCAACTGTTGAATCTCTTGGAGCTGGCTACCTTAAGGGCAGAAGTCGTAGCAGTCTACAACCTGTGCCTAGGAAGTCACTTCTGAATCCGAAGCATCTAATTCATTTTATTCGGGTGAGGGTGGAGTGCCATATCAAGGCTGTCTCCAAATCCCCATGAGATGTATTTTCCTTAAACTAAAGCAAACCGGAGCTTCTGTCCCAAGGCACCAGCGCATTCCCTTGTATTTTTAAAAAACTATGGAATGATTTTAAACAGCTTCGAAATATTGGAAAAACCTTAAGAGACCGAACTGACATTGGGTTTAAGGCACTCAACATGGAAAACACACAAGTTTTGCACAATTTTCTCAAGGAAACAAAGAAGAATTTTATGTCGCACATCTGAGCTTCCCTATATTAAATCGACGTCCAGAGAAGCTTCTCTAAAAACCAACAAAGGTAACCCAGCATCGTTGCATAAATTAGACACAAATAACGATGAAGGAACACATAGTAGTCAAGATCTATTTTTACAGGCCGAAACCACACTTTATACCCAAAAAATAATAAAAGGTAAAAAAATGGTAACATTCTGGCCTTCTATCCTTTTTTCTTTGTTTAAGAGCCAAAATGAAAGTGGACAAAAATATCGAGATACAAAGAGTATGTACAAAAGCAAGAGTTTTTGGGGATAATGTATAACAACAACAAGTGAGAAGGTTTAGGAAGGATATGCATACGCACTTCGAAAGTAGAGAGGTTATCTCTAAGTTTTTTAGGGAGAATGTTTCCCCTGAAAAGGGTCCAATCGATAAATAGTACATAGTCCATGGGATGTGGGCCTTAGTTTGGCCCCTCTGGATTCTGAGGGGGAAGGATGCACATGTTTTTCCACCCTAAGCTCATGTGGTTTAGACCAAGCATTTAGGCTTGTTGCGCCATTGGTGAGTCTCAGTTATTCCATAGTTAGAAGAATGCAAAGGGGGAGCGGCTTAGCCATGTGTGTTGCACCTGGCACGTCGAATCGCTCAAATGATATTAATGCACTGCTTATTGCTTACCGGGTCACCAAGCCTCTCAAATGTTGAGACCCGAGGGTAACTGCATTCCTCTCTTCCTCTTAGATGATTTCCATGTTTATGGCCTTGGTGTTTTTCTTCTTTCGGCCCATGCAGGTAGCCTTCTCACACTAGGTGACCTCATCCACCGTGATGAATATTCGCCACAGATCCGTGATTGGTGAAGAAGAAAGAGCCTTCTCGTGTACTTCTCTCGCAAAAGTGGAGAGATTGTTAACAATCCACATGAAAATTCTCGAGTTTTACCACTATCCTCGAAATCAACGTGTGGGTGCCCTCAGCACACGACTTGAGTTGAAGCAACTTGGCATTACATACCCAGGGGAGAGGCATTACATACCCATGGGAGAATGAACATACGAGACAATGAGACATGTAGCGCTTGATGCAAGAATCCAACTGGATGACGAAGGTCAAGGGTGACCAACGTGGTAGGTGTCCAAAGAGGTCGTCGTCATCCTTCTTGGATGCAAATGCCCGGGCCAACCTCCAAGGACCAAAGTGTCATGCATTCCTTGGTCCTTGCCCCCACTCTCTTTGGGCTTAACCCAAAGTGACTTGGTTCAGGTGCCTCCAACTTTGACAAACGAACAATCACCGGAGTCTACTATAATCTTTATGCTAGTAAAGACTAAAGATTATAATAGTATATTTAATATAAAAATTTAAGAGGGGTAATATTAATCTTGTATATTAAATAGTAGAAAATATATCAATAATATTTTAAAAAAAATATTATAATAATTTTCTACACCCAAAATAATAGTTTTAAAGGTCGAGGCATCCATCAATAATATACTCCGTAGTTATCTAGTATTTTTTTATAATTTTTTTTATATAAATTAATTAAATTAAAATAACTTCAGTCAAAACTAAAATATTGTAATCCAAACAGAAATATCAAATAGGGAGGTAGAGAGTAATAAATTAATCATAAAAACAAGTTAAGGAATACATATAATAACATGACAGAAACATAGGATTACAAGATGAAAGATGAGATCAAGAGAACCCAAGGGTGTCAAAGATGGTAGTGTGAAGTGGGTCACTCAAATGGGTAGCCCAGTTGTTGAGTGGGCCTTTTCCCGTAGCAGCAGCTTGGATAGCAAAGCCCAAGAAGGCAACCATTGCAAGCCTGGCATGCTTGATCTCCGCGAGCTGAAGGCTGGACTTCTTCTCCGGGTCAGCAGCCAGGCCCAACGGGTCAAAGAACTTCCCGCCCGGGTACAGCCTCATCTCCGGGTCGAGTTCGGCGTTCCTCTGGAACTCAATGAACCCGACGGCAAGAACCTCCGTCCATATCAATGTCGTCATTGAGAACGGAAGCGGTTGCCCGAGGTACGACGATCCGTCGATTAGCTCCACCTGTGTTTTGTTTTTTGTTTCAATTTTAGGAAATCTGAGCTAATTTGGACGGAGATCGGAAAACGAGATCCGGAATTCACGTACCTTTCCGGCGTCCTGCCAGGTAACTCCGGTGAGGCACTCGACAGCCAAGGCGCCGAGGGTAGCCAGCATCGCCCACCTTCCATGGATCAGCTCGCACTCCCTGAACCTCTGGAGCCCGAAGACCTCGCTGTACGGCTGGAACGGCGTCGGCCTCACGTCGGAGAACTCTGTCCTCGTTCCGATGACTTCTCCGGCGAGGTTCTTAGACAAACTCTGATCCAGCGAGTCGAGCTCGAACTGCAAGTATTCTGCGGGCTTTCCCAGCCCGAGGGGGTCGAATCCGTAGTCTCCGACGAGGGTTCCGTCGAGGTATTCCGGCGACTTAGCTCCCGGATACCACAAGGGCCTATTTGAGATGGGCTTCGGGGTTGCCTTCTTCGGAGGAGATTTCTTGCGTCCAAGTCCGAATCCGAAACGGGACTGGACTCGACCCGGGATCCGAGATCCGATCATTGAGGACGTCACGGCGGCGGCCATGGCGGAGGTTTGGGTGAAGGGGTCTGTAATGAAATAATTGGTTCGTTGGGTCGGGTATTAATTAGTGGGCTGATTTATTATTTTATTTTAAAGGTCGTGATCTACGTAGAAGAAGGAGAGACGTTGGATAAGAAGAGTGAATCAATCTGACGGCTGAGGAAGTTTCTGCCTTATCTCTTTCTTATCTTATTATTGTAAGGCAATCGGTTCTCTATCCTTTCTATCCTTTTTTGAGCTATTTTTTTTAATACAACTTTTAACTATATACGAATAATTTAATTTTTTAAACTTTTGTAAAATATTTTTTCGGTGGGCTTCTTTTGACAACAAGCAAAATGCTTGTGGTCATACTATGACAAGAATGACCTACGATGTTTCATTCAAAAAATTGATGCCTCCTAACTCGTTAAACCTTCATGCCCTCGACCATTTCCCCCACCCCAGTAGACCCCCCTGCCCCCACCCCAAAACGCCGATTGGCTACAACATTATTATTGTCCGCAAAACAACTATGTTAAGTCATTTTTTATTGGTTCAACTATTGCCTGTTACTTTTAGAATGTTTTAGGTAGAGGTGGCAATCGGATCAACCGGATCGGTTTCGGATTGGATTTTTTCAATTCGGATATCTTTCGGTTATATGTTATAATCGGTTCGGTTCGGTTCGGATCGGTTAAATTTCGGTTCGGATTTGATTTCGGTTCTATACATTTTTCGGTTCGGTTCGGTTTCGAGTCGGTTCAGATACTGTTCGGTTATAAATCGGTTCGGATAGATTTCGGTTCGGATACAATTTGAGTCAGATATATTTCGGTTTCGGGTCTAGTTCGGTTCGGATATATTTCGGTTTCGGATCAAATATATTTTGGATATATATTATTTTCTAATTAAAATTTAACTATCCGTGTTTCTTTTTATGTTTTATCACATTTATCAATCTATCATCAATTCAATACCTCATATTATTTTATATTTTTTTCTAGTTATATTATCTATACCCTAAATAATCTTCCCTTTTTGACTTTTTAGTCATATTTTACAAATTTGGACTACAAATTATGNTTCGGATCAAATATATTTTGGATATATATTATTTTCTAATTAAAATTTAACTATCCGTGTTTCTTTTTATGTTTTATCACATTTATCAATCTATCATCAATTCAATACCTCATATTATTTTATATTTTTTTCTAGTTATATTATCTATACCCTAAATAATCTTCCCTTTTTGACTTTTTAGTCATATTTTACAAATTTGGACTACAAATTATGAAAAGATATATATTTAATTATGATATAAATTTAATATAATTAAATTGATTTTAAAATTTAGTTTTGAAATATAAAATTTTTCTCACATATACTAATATACTCATGTATATAAATGAAAAGATAAAAGATAAATTCAAATAGTCTTATGTTCCATTTGAATACAGTTTGGTAAAAATTGAGTAAAATTGGGTGAAATTAAGTGAATTTTATTCAATTGAGTACAAAATTTGTAAATTTTTGAGTATATTTGGTTGAAAATAGAGAAAATTAAATTTAATAGAGTCAAATATAATTAATTTTACACCTAAATGTAATGGTGTAGATCAAATTTGAAAATGATAACAGTAAAGGCTGCCGCTAGTGAGTCTTTTCAAAATGCTAACACTAGCATCTAATTTTATTGACTAATATTGAATGAATTTGTTTGAAACTAGTCAAATTAACTCTCAAATCAATAAAATTTATTGTAATGAGATGAAATTAGGATAAAATCTAGTTATTCCATACAATTCATCATATATTCCTTTCGTCCCAAAAAGAATATCACACTTCACTATTTAAAAATAACAGAAATTTTATTTGTTTGTGCGTTATCATTTATATGTATAACTTATCTTTAATTTCTACATATAATAAATTTAAGGCATAAAATTTTGTACTTTTTTTCAAGAAGATAATCCATTTTAATTTATGAGCATATGAGCAAGTAATGTAATTAGTTCAAATGGTAAAATAAAAGTAAAAATTTAAAAATATAATATGCTTATTGAAAGGCAAACATAGTTCTGAATTTATCGATTTTAGTTCTAATCGGGTTCGGATATTATCGGTTTCAGATCTAATCGGTTTCGGATTTATCGGTTTCGGGTATTATCGGGTTCGGATCTAATCGGTTTCAGGTTTAATCGGTTCGGATATTATCGGTTTCGGATCTAATCGGTTTCGGATTTAAATCGGATATGAATTATTTAGTTCGGTTTCGGTTCGATTCGGATCATTTCGGGTTTTCAGTTATAGATCAGATCTTCATTTTTCGGGTCATTCTGGTTTCGGTTTCGGATATTTCGGTTTGGGTAATCGGTTCCGGTTCTGTTTTGCCAGCTCTAGTTTTAGGGTATACTTGGGGAGCAAAAAAGACATGAATTTTATCTCCAGATATCAAAATCTTTTTTGGTATTTGGTGAAGCGTGGAGGGGTTCGATACCTGCCAAACTTAGTAGATATCAATATGAGAGCTTGATATCTCTTTCAACCGTTGATTATTCTTCGCCACCGGCTACCATTGTCACTGCCAACCACTCTCGTGTCTGGCCGCCCCCGTCTATCATTAATTAAATCATGATTTTAAATTTCTACAAATAACTTCGTTTCAAATCTCAAAACCCATATTTTTTTCTCCGATATTTCAAAACACATATCTTATCATACCTCCAAAACTCACCAAACAACTCCTTAGTCACTTTTTATCAGTTTTATTCACACTCAATTTTTATGTATAAATCTTAAACTGCCAACCGAGCCATCTTGAATAGATCAATTTTGGTTTGTTGATTTCAATCTATTTGTCAGCTGGTTTTGATTTTTTCGATATTTTGTTTAGCCCTAATGTGTGTGTAGCCTAAGGAACTCCGAATTTGTACCCACCCCTTCTTTCTTATTCACAAACATGAAAAGCCAGTTCATGTCTATGAAAAATAAAAAAGAAGTGGGAGCAAAATTGGCCATTGTTCCAAACTGTTAGCGTTATGTATATTAGTTCATATTGTATTATTGTGTATACTGGGCTAGTCATGTTGGGCCCGTAACTCTTGTATATATACTGTGACATATCAAGGAAATAATCAAGCAATTCACTTCATAATATTCTATATGGTATCGGAGCATTTTCTGGGAAGTCTCGTAAAACCCTAGGGATCCGTTTCCGGTTGTTTTCGTCGCTCCATCCGTCCAGTCACCGGCCGGTCATCGTCGCCGGCAAGTCAGCCGTCAAGTCCGTCGTCCTGCGTCGTCGCTGGACCAGTAAGCCCTCCGTCATCGCCTCGTGTTTGTCTCTGATCGTGCATCAACATGTCAGCCGAAGGGAACTCAAACCCTAAGAAGACTCGATTGATTCATGATCCGTCGTCCGTGTATTATCTTCACCCCTCCGAAGGTCCCGATAATTCCTTGACCAAATATCTTTTGAAAAGCGATAACTTTGATATTTGGGAAAAGGCAATATGTAATGCACTTGGTGGTCGTGGCAAATCTGTTTTTCTGTCCCCCGGTGGTATTCCCCAACCAACCGATGAGAATGAATTGTCTGCATGGTATGCCAACAATCAAATAATTTGTAGTTGGATCTTCAACAGTGTTGATGAATCTATTCAACCTAGCATTGTGTCTCACACTATTGCATCTGTGCTCTGGGAGGATTTGAAGAAGCGGTATGGTTGTTCTAATGGTCCTCGTGTGTATCAATTAAAGTCTGAGTTGAATTCCTTGCGACAAAAGGGTCAAACGGTAGTCTCTTATTATAATCAATTCATCACTTTATGGAATCAACTTCATGGTACGTCCGATCTAACCAACGGCTGCAAATGTGAGGCAGTTCCCCTCACACGTGCTCGTCTTGAACGAGATAAAACCATTGATTTCTTGCTTGGTTTGGATGATGAACAGTTTGGTCCCATTCGGTCCCAGATTCTTGGCACGGAACCAGTTGTTGATATTGACCGTGCTTATTTTTTAGTCTCACAAGAGGAACGTCACCGGCACATTGTGCGTGCTCGTGATGATCGTACAGACTCAGTTGCTTTTGCGGCTAAGTCGGATCGTCGCCCTCCCTCATCGAGAAAATTATTGTGTTCTCACTCTGGCCGAACAAATCATAATGTGGAAACATGTTTTGAGCTTATCGGTTTTCTGCCTCAGTACGGCCGAGGGGGAGGAGGTCGTGGCGGGTCGTCTACTCGTGGTGGCCGCGGGGCTATTTCACCCGCTAGCAGGGGAGGCCGCGGGCCAGGAGGTGGCACGGGCGGTAGGTCAGCCCCATCCGGCAGTTGGTCGGCTGTCGTCTCTGCCGCGGCAGTGCATGCCGCCTCCGGTGATGCGAATAGCTCTCTCAGTGATCAAATGAGCCGTCTTATGTCTATGTTGGAAGCATCTGCCTCGCACACTTACTCGGGCAAACTGTTTTCTCATTGTGAATGGCTTATTGACAGTGGTGCATCTCATCATATAACGGGTACTTTGTCTCATTTGTTTAATCTCGTGGATGTACCCCCTCATCCTATATGTCTACCCGATGGTTCTCGTATTCAAGCTACAAAACAGGGAAGCGTTCGGTTATCTCCACATTTGGTGCTTCATCATGTTTTCTTTGTTCCTACTTTGCACTGCCATTTAATATCTGAAGGATGCTTAATACGAGATACTACTTGTCATGTAATTTTTAATGATCATGGTTGTGTAATACAGGACTGTTCGTCGAAGATGGTGATTGGACAGGGTGAACTACGGAACGGAGTCTATCACTTTGCTTCCTCTCCTGTGTCGGCCAGCACTGCTAAACTTGATCCATTCATTCTTCACCAACGTTTGGGTCATCCGTCACCCGATATTTTTTCTTTCTTTAATTTCAATAAATCCCAATCTGTTGTCAAGAAACTTCAAACATGTGAGATTTGTTTTATGTCAAAACAAACTCGGTCTTCCTTCTCTGTTAGTCATAATAAAGCTCATGCTATTTTTGATTTAATTCACTGTGATTTATGGGGGCCGTATACTGCTTGTTTATCGTCTGGGGCTCATTATTTTCTCACTATTGTGGATGATTTTTCCCGGGCTGTTTGGGTGTACCTTGTTCGTTCAAAAAGTGAAGTTACTTCATGTCTCCAACGTTTTTT